GTTTTGCATTTTTTAAACTTAATACATGATTTTTACAATTGTGAAACTTAATGTCTGATTTGTGAACTCTTCCCTTTTTAAATACCTTTTATGGTATAATTTCCATTTATTCTACCCGGCATTCTCCTCGTCCAAGTCTCATAAGGCTACTGAATTTTCAGGTTCAAGTTTTTGGGCCAAATCTGAAATAATTGACAGGCCCGCAGTCTAGTGACCAGGATTTGAATGACCCGTGTTCTGCATTATTTCTCCACCAAAAATCTACCTTCAATTTATACGAGTTATTTCTCTACCTTCAATCTACCTGCATGCATCAGCAACCTCCTCTTCAACCACTGTAAAGTAAACATGTACAAAATTATTTTCAACAACATATAGCTTTGTAAGTTTCCTTCTTTACTTAGGACTCCTATACCAAACAAAGCAGTAACCAATAAATATCTCTCAAATCAAACAGGCTTTATAAATCTCAACTGCTATCATTCCCGTCAGATTCGAAATACAGGAAGACCTTAATCAGAGATCTCGACGGAGGGAAAAAGAAAGGTCTGCAATCATGAACTTAATTTCTTTTTTTATTATTATTTCTATGAATTTATGTAAATATTCAATGAACAAAAAGGGATAATTTTATGTTCTAGATTTATGTCTTAAAATTAAATTAAGTATTTGTTTATGTTTGATTCTGAGAATAAACCATCTCATCACCTGTTTTACTTGGAACAACACTAGAAGATGAGAAAGCACCCTTCTGTCCAGATTATGACACGGTTGAAACACGCAGCAGTCACTCATTCTCTCATCTCTCTAGAGCGTCACTCTCTCAAAAACTCTCTACCTTCTATATTTCTTTCTACACTTTCTTTTACAGAGATTTGTTCTCTATGAATTCTTGGTAGATATTGTATAATTGTGGGTATGGAAAGTTTGATCCCGTCATGGTGAACAGTAAATCAGGTTTTGTGGCGGGAGGACTGTGTTGTATAATCTTCTATAGTCCTTTCTTTGAAAGCTTTTGCCAAGTGCTTGAGCGAGTAGCCATTTTGGTACACATCCGAGCCTACAGACGAAAATTTCTCTTGTTCCATCTTTATTTTCTGCTTTGATGGATGGTAGAGTCTCAATTAGAGGTATCAATCCGGGTGATCCGGGCTGGGTCGGCCAGTCAACATATAAGCCCGGTAACGGTTCGCGTGAAAAAGCCCTCCCGCTACGGGTTCCGGGTTGGCCCACAAATTTTGGACTACAACCCAGGCCCACCCACTGATCCATCCGGGTCGAGCTCATGTGAGTCGCGGTTTGTTCCGATTTGGCCCGTATTATTGTATAAATAAAATTATAAAAATATAGAATTTTTTATATTTATAGCAACAATATTTTTTTTTAAATGTAAACTAAGAATTGAACAAAATGAT